CACAGTTAACCTTAACTCTTTCACCCCTCATCTAAGCTGTCACCAATTCCTGTTAGTTACAGATCCAGTATCCAACCATTAGTTGTACCACTACCACTACCATTTGGATGAAGCCAGCATCTACTCCCACCAGGATTGCTATGATAGTCTCCTATCTCTCGGACTCTCCGCTTCCACCCTTGCCCTCTGCCCTCCAGCCTATTTTCAGCACAGCAGCCAAAGAACTCCTCTGAAAAACAGTCAGGGGCTGCACACCATGGCTCATGCCTGTAATCCCAGTGCTTCAGGAGGCTGAGGCAGGAGGATCACTCAAGCCCAGGAGTTTGAGACTAGCCTGGGCAACACAGCAAGACCCCACCTCCACAAAAAACTGAGAAAATCAGTGGGGCATAGTGGTGCACGCCTGTAGTCCCAGCTACTTGGGAGGCCGAGGCAGGAGGATCCCTTGAGTCCGGGAGATGGAAGCTGCAGTGAGTTACGACTGCATCACTGCACTCCAGCCTGGGTGATCACATGAGACTCTGTCTAAGTAAGAAAGTCAGATCATGCTATGCCTTTGCTCAAAACCCTTCAATGTCTTCCCACTTGTATCAGTTTCCTTTCGCTGCTCTAACCAATGACTACAAGCAGTGGCTTAAAATAATAGAAATCTAGTCTCTTACTGTTGTAGAGTGCACAAGTCCAAAAACTGGATTTTATGGAGCTAAAATCGAGGTGCCAATAAGGCTGCATTCCTTCTGGAGGCTTCGGGGTTGCGGTGGGGGAAATCCGGCTGCATGCCTTTCCAGTTTCTGGAGGCTGCCTATACTTCTCGGCTCGTGGCCCCTTCCATGAGTGACTCCAGCCTCTTGCTCCTGCCACTACATCTTTTACTCCTACCTCTGACCCTCCTTCGTCCATCTTACTAGGCCCCTTGTGATTACACTGGGCTCACCTGGGCAATCCAGGGTAATCTCCCCATCTCAAGACTCCAAAGCCCATAAGCAAAGTCACTTTCCCTACAGAAGGTAACAAATTCTCATATTCTGGTGATTAGGATGGGAGCATCTATGGGAGTGCCCATTTCACATGGAGTAAAAGCCCAAGTTCTGACAATGTCTTACTAGTTCCCATGTGAACCAGACCCCACTTCCTGTCTGAGCTCATTGCTTACAACTCTCTCCCCTTCACTCACTCTGTTCCAGCCACACTGGCCTTGCTCTTCCTCAACATAAGCCCATCCAGGACCTTTGCACTTACCATTCTCTCCGACAGGAGACCTCCCTCCTTCCTTTAAGTCTCGGCATAAAGGGCACCACCCTATGAGTGAGGGTTTCTCTGATTACCCCTTCCCCAGCCAGGCACTCCCTTCCACGCTCAATTCTTTCCCAGAGCTCTTAACACCATATGTCCGTCATTCCTATTCTCTCTCTCTTTCTTCTGTCCTCTCCCACTAGAACATCATCAATAACAGGTGTTCTGTCTCTTGTCCTAATCCCTAGCAAATACCAGAGGCTCAACAAACAGTTGTTGAATAAGTGAATCTTACTTTACCAGAAAAGGCAAGTTCCTTGGACTCAAAGATCTGCCCTAAAGTAGGAACTTAACCTGAATGAATAAATGAATGAATGGGTACCTGAGAGACTCAACTTACATCTCATTTTTTATAGGTATACAGACTAATATGAAAGCAAGTGCTTTACTACTTAGGAACCAGACATAATGGTTTAAATAGCTTATTCAAAGACACACAATAAAGGTAAAGTAATACAATCACATATTAAGACGCCAGCCAAGCCCCTGACATTATTTTGCTGTGTTCTCAGACCTGACAAATCAGAACTCGCCCGGATTCTCTTGCTTGGCTGAAACACCAGTACCAAAAAGGTTACAAGTCAATAAACTCTGGATTTATTATGAAATCTCGAAAGCATTTATCTCATGTATTCAGATATGTAAAAAACATACAGGGAGAGATCATCATCCACACTTTAAAACGCCCCCAGAAGCAAACCTGCAGCATAAGCTTCATGTGCATCATCAGTGCCCGGCACTGCCCATCAGCCAGTCCGGAGCAGCATTCAGATGGTCACCTCAGGTGTTGGGGACACAAAGAAACCAAAGACATTCCCATCGTGAGGCATGTTTACTGAGGGGAAAGAAACACCGGGACAATGCAACTGGCTTGGAAAGGGCCAGCAATTTCTCTTGCAGAGGCCATCTCAGCTGCATTTTGCAAAGCGTTATGCTAGCCTTGCTCACATGCCGGCAAAGCCCACGCCAGCTCACCATCCAGCAACATCTCGCCGCCTGCCTTTTCGGGAGGGTGTGCCGGGGTTGTGTTTCGTTCAACTTTGAAAACTGCATTTCTAGGAATCCTCTTACCAGCATATGGGCGGGAAAGAGGACCTCACTGTGATCAGGAAGCTGGACCCAGAGGAGGGACTGCCAGGTTCAGATCTCACCTCTGTGAGTCACTAGCTGTGTCCCCACAGACATGTCACCAACCACCCCTCTCTACGCTTCAATGTCCTCACCTCTAAAAAGTCTGCTTATAATTCTTACAATCATTATAGGCGATATTGCAGGAAAAACACTTACAGTGCCTTGCAATTCCAGGCCTTAATAGATATCACCTATTATTATAACAGCTGCTACTATATTAGTATTATATTAATCCTGACTTTAAAAAAAAAAAATCACCATTCAAAAATAAATAGTACATTTGTCTCCATCTTGAGTTTTGCTTGTGACAGTGACTTCTAAAGGTTTACCATTTACTTACAACTAAGTGTTTGTCTATAATCAGGAAAAACAGCTATCAGGCCAATGTTAAGAGTAAGCTTTTCTACATATGGCTGGCAAAAATAAAGTCATTTAAAGCCTTCCCCCTCAATTCTACACCTGAATAAAAACATACATGATTTGTTCATGGAAAGCTTAACAGAAATGTTGAACAAATATGACCTCGTGTAGTATTTAAATAAGATAAGCAAAATGGGTAAGATTTTAAAATATATACATAGGCATGCGTAGGTTCAAATAGGCATTTTTGTGGCAAATTACTGCCTGATAAAATAATCATTTAATCTAACATCCTACGTTGCCTCATGGCTTGAAAAATGAAGATCAAATGACATCAAAATACACATTTATTTTTCTGTTTCTACTAACCACGCTAACCAAGGATACATGTCAGAGGCATCAAGTGAGCTTTACACCAAATGACACAAGAATTCACCTCACACACGAGGATTCCAATTTAGTAGGTTGGGGAGGGAGCAAGTATTTGAGTTCCACAGAAGCTCCCCAGCTATTACTAATGCTAACATCTGTGGTTATTAACCACTGTGCAATGTATATATTTTTTCCTTTTGACAGAGTCTTGTTCTGTCACCCAGGTGGGAGTGCAGTGGCACGATCATGGCTCACTGCAGCTTTGACCTCCCAGGCTCAGGTGATCCTCCCACCTCAGCCTTCGGAGTAGCTGGAACTATAGGCACATACCACCATATTCAGCTAATTTTTTGTACTTTTTATAGAGACGGAGTTTCAGCACATAGCACAGGCTGGTCTCAAACTCCTGGGCTCAAGCTATCTGCCTGCTTTGGCCTCCCAGAGTGCTGGGATTACAAGTGTGAGTCATGTCCGCCCCAAGATGTCTCCTTTAACAAGAAGTTTTTTGCCGTGAAAATGTTTGCAAAAAGCGTTTCTTGATTCTGTAACCCTGCTCCCAAAGCAACACTTGACTACTTGCAACTCGGTAAAGAGAAGTGTTGAGTTAACCTTAAAAAAATCATTAAATAATCCTCTGGTCTTTTAACACTAACAAGAGAGCTAAAGGAAATGGGAAGAGATGAGGCGGGACTTTCCAGCTGTTCCAGGAAATCACGTGACTGCCTTCCCTTTAGACTAATATGGCTGCCAACCGAACTCTAGGCACTAATAGGCCTGTTCTGTGTCTCAGTCTTCCTATGCGTAACGATTAGCCACATCAGCCTGCTCATAACCTTCCTAACATCCTGCCATCCAAGGTCCTTGCTTCATTAATTAATTCATTCAACGTTTTCTGAGCACCTACTGTACCCCAGGGAACAAATGCAAAACTGCCCCTGCCCTCCTGCTGCTTGCATTCTAATTTCTAACAAACAGCCTCTTCAACCCGCCAGACTTGTTTAAAGAACTGCTTCTTCAATGTGTTTCTTAAAAATGATGGTATTTTGGAGTAGAAAGGCAAATAATCGCAGTTTGAGACAACAATGTGGTTCAAAGGATTGAAGAAATGAGAGGCTATGGAGGGTCTGCACAAGCAAAGATAAGGGAACTCGTGAACCTTTTGCAGTGGAACGAAGCAGTTAATGGAATCACTGGCTTGGAGGTTATTTCTGGCGGGGGACATAAACCCACTCTGGAAATAGGAACGACCTGGCAGAAAAATAGGATTAGGATTCAGCGGCCAGGAGTAGAACCCATTCCCAGCAAGAACATATTTAACAATTCCTACTGGAGACAGGATCAGGAGAGAGGCAAATTCATGACAGGCAGCGGTATTAACATCTTCAAGTAGCCGTAACAACTACTTTAACTATTTGGTAAAAGTTTTTCCAGGTCAATAAAAATTTAAGGGGTTCAAAAGTAAGAGTGATACTTAGATAAAGTTATTAATAACCAACCAAGACCCAGAAAGCTTACGCAGCTAGTTAATGAGGCGCCACGGATAAGGCTCTTACTACTAATCCCATGCTTTTTCCACTACATCATGCAGGGAGCTGAGCAGGGTCATCTTTCATCAGCAGTTTCTAATATACGGGACACTACAGCTGCAGAACACAGGATCGGGGAAGGTCAAATCTATAACAGCTCAACTGTAGTCAATGACAAATGGTTCTCAAATGATCAGAATGGGGTGCCTAGGTGCAGAGTAGTTGTCAAGAAGAGGAGAGAGGTTGTTCAGAATTGCTACATTAGGATAACTGTTACTCATGAAACCCAGAACTAAGTTCATTCATCGGCAACCTTACCTAGTTCTGGGGGCAGAACGGTGAGGCGGTTCCCCTGAATATGGAGCTCTTTAAGCTGGGTAAGCTCCCCGATTTCCTTAGGCAGCGAGATCAGGTCGTTATCCCTAAGGCTGAGCTAAACAGAAGAAAACAAGGAGTTGTCAACATATTTACACATTAAAAGGTGCTCCACAGAAACTCTCATCCTCCTCCATGTCCTCTCTTCTACTAAAGCTCAGTCCCTTCCATTTATTTACAAGTGCCGGCGGATAATCAAGAAACACTATCACGAGTAGTGGTTTATTCCCACCAAACAAACCTTACTCCTGCTCAAATTGACTTGATTCTACCCCTACAAGGCTGCGGCAGTGAATTGATTTTCTAAGAATTTAGATAAATTACTTACTATCTGCAACTTTGTGAGCTTCCCAATATCTGGCGGCAGGATTTCAAAATCGTTGTCACTTAGATAGAGTGCACGCAGGGTGGCTGCAAATTAAACAGCAATATATAAACAGGGTGGCATGGAACCCAACCATTTGAGGTCTGATCAATACGAGGGAGTCAGCTTTGATTAATAACCCTGACTTGGTGAAAAGCCTTTGACATACCTAGGGCTCCCAATAATAACAAGCAGGTCAAACTTAGATTTACTGGCTTATTGTGTAGCTGGTGTGTCCAGGAAAACATCTATATCCAAGAGGACTGACTCAATTAATAATGTGGGCACTAGCATTTTGGAGCACAGAGTTTCAGCACATTTTTAGAAAAGATTGCTGTTTTTCTCATAGATTCCTTTTGATTCACATTTATTTCTCCATTTGCATCAAAGGAAAACAAAGAACACTACTGTGCCACTTTTATGGATACCTAAGGCAAAAGGTTCTTTCAAGAGAATACAACGATGTTAAAACAGACTTTTTCCTATGTAAATAGCACTGGGTTAAAAATTAATGAAAGGCTTTCTGGTGATGGAGGCTATAACCACAGCTCATCAGTTCCATCATCTGACTAATTATTATTACTTGTTTCTACAGCCTTCAGGACAAAAATAAATGAAGACAAAGAGGCTAAAACAATGACATGAAGTTAACAGAGTAAATCCTAACTTAAGGAGAATATCAGTAGTCAGAAATTTGTTCATAATTATTACACAATGATAATACGATTCCGAACTACTGAAGGCTAAAATTCTAAAGCATCTGTTTATCCTCAACCATGAAAGCTGAGTATAATTAGATATATGTTTTGTTTACCAGTATTTATTTTCTAGAGACAGAGTCTCGCTCTGTCACCTAGGCTGGAGTGTAGTTGGTCACTGCAGCCTCAAACTCTTGGCCTCGAGCACTCTTCCTACCTCAGCCTCCCAAGTAGCTAAGATCACAGGCGCATGCTACTATGCCTGGCTACTTTTTAAATTTTTATTTCTAGAGGCAGGGTCTCTCTATGTTGCCCAGGCTGGTCTTACACTCCTAGCCTCAAGTGATCTTTGTAGCTCTGGCTCCCAAGAACTGGATGTTAATATAATATAACAAAAACAGTTGCTCCACTGCCCAAGAAAGTATTTTATAGCTGGTTTCATGTGCTTGACAAAGTCATAGAGAGGTAATGTACATAAGGTAAAAAATAAAATTTAAGAGACCAGCTCAGAAAATTCAGTTTTGTGAATGCCATGTAAGTTACTATTTGAAGAAACAGAACACTCATTTAAGGGAAGCAAACCTTGTCCAAAATAGTGCATAAGTTCCCAGAAGAAATCATTTTTTAATTTTCAAAAGCATCTTCAGCAAGAAATTTGTTTGCATATGAAAGAATAAAGTGTGTTCACCTGTGGCCAATAATTTCTTAATGCCTGTGTACTGGATACATAGGTCAATAAGAGTGCTATTAAAAGGCTGAAAATAAGAATCCTGGCTGGAAAATTCAAAAATTCTGTTAGTGATTTATTAATAAATATTTTTATAAATAATTGATTGGAATATCCTGGGCAAATATCCTACAAAGAATAGCAACATGGGAAGATACTTTTTTTTTTTTCGGCATGCTATTTAAAAAGAAAGTCAAGTCTCTTAGCTAAATGTGAGGCTTGATCTCATTTAGGTATATAATCTCTCTCAGAATGTTAATATGACATTACTAAGTCCACTTCAGCCCGATGGTGTCACATAACGATGTATCAAATGCACATACTGCTGAGCTATGAAGGAATATTCAAAAGGAGTCTCTAAAGAAAAAAAATCTCTGTCCAATAATTTCTCTTGGAGTTTGGGTCCTGGCAAATAAATTTCCCTCTTAGAACGCAAAGTACAGGGTTGAGGAGATTTATAGAACTGAAAGTTTCTTACTCAGGTAGAAGAAGTTTCCAGGAAGAGAATTTTCGCTCAAGTTGTTGTAAGTCAAGTCCAGAACCTCAAGAGCTGGCAGGGAGCCGAAGCCTCGTGGCAAAGTGTTCAGCCTGTTCATGCTGTTGCAGGGGGACAAAAATCTATGTCATGACACCAAAGACCCGTTTATACAAACTATCAAGGGGCGCCTCGGTTTCACAGGGTGACAGTGTAAGACAGTGCCATGATCCTAGAGTCACTTTCTACTTTATTTTTATTTTTTATTATTTTGAGACAGGGGCTTGCTCTATTGCCTAGGTGTGCCCAGGTTGTAGTGCAGTGGCACGATCTCAGCTCACTGCAGCCTCAACCTCCCCAGGCTCAAGCGATCCTTCCACTTCAGTCTCCCAAGTAACTGGGACCACAGGTGCATGCCACTACGCCCTGCTAATATTTGTATTTTTTGCAAAAATGGGGTTTTGCCATGTTGCTCACGCTGGTCTCAAACTCCTGAGCTCAAGCAATCCTCTCACCCTGGCCTCTGAGAATGCTGGGATTATAGGTGTGAGCCACCATGCCCATCCTATTTTTTTTTTAAATTAAAAAAAAGCATTTATTTAATACTTACAATGATAAATAAAGATTGTACATACTTATGGTATACAACATGGTGTACATACTTATGGTGTACATACTTATGGTGTACAACAATTATATATATATAATACATCATGGAATGGCTTAAATCACACTGTTTAATATATGCACTGCCTCACATGCTTGTCATTTTTTTTCGTCTTTTTTTTTTTTTTTGTCTTTTGTGGTGAGAACGCACATTCACTCTCTTAGCAATTTTCAAGTATACCACATATTGTTATTAACTGCAGTCACCACGATGTATGATCCATCTCTTGAACGTACTTCTCCTGTCTAACTAAACTTTCGTGTCCTTTGGCTAACATTTCTGCAATTCCCCAATCCCTCCAGCCTGTGGTAACCATTTTATACCATTTCAATGAGGTTTACTTTTTTACATTCCACATACAAGTAAGAGGGTGTGGTATGTTGTCCTACTTGGACTCATAATTTCAGTCAGAGAGCTTGTAGGTTCCTGAAACATTTGCAAATTTCTTAGTTGTCATTTTCCGCCAGCGGTGAAACTTAATCACTGTTTTACACAAAAACTCAAACCATCACAAAATATTTATCCTTGTAAAGAAAAACTTCCTTATGAACGTAGCGATAATATCTCAAAATATACACATGAAGCTTTGTAGTTTTCAGACTTTTGCTTGATTTCATTTCATTTATTCCTTTTTGGAGGGAAACATGTTTTTGTTCTACAACTGCTAACATTGAAAATTATCTTCAATTAGAATGGTGATGGCCAGGGGATGGAGGGAGGGGAATGGAGAGGTGTTGTTTAATGGGCATAGGATTCAGGTTTGCAAGATGAGAAAATTCTGGGGATTGGTTGAACAACAATGTGAATACGCTTAACACCACTGAACTGTCTACTACAAAGACAGAACATTTTGTGTGCATTTTATCACAACTTAAGAAAAATTAAAATCATACAATTGACCCTTGAGCAACATGGGTTTGAACTGCCTGGGTCCAAGGACACAAGTATATTTTTCCTCTGCCTCTGCCACCCCTGAGACAGCAAGAACAACCCTCCTCTTCCTCTTCAGCCCACTCAGCATGAAGAGGATGAATACTTTTAAGATGATCCACTTCCATTTAAAGCACAGTAAATGCACCGCCTTTTCCTTATGACTTCCCTAATAACATTTTCTTTTCTCTAGCTTACTTTATTGTAAGAATGAAGAACCGGAATACATACAGCACACAAAATACATGTTCATCAACTATTTCTGTTTTTGGTAAGGCTTCCGGTCAACTGTAGGCTATTGGGAATTAAGATTTTTCGGAGTCAAAAGTAACGTGTGGATTTTTGACTGCATGAGTCACTGTGTTGCTCCCTCAACCCATATGTTGCTCAAGGGTCAACTGTGTGTGAGTGTGTGTGGGGGGTGTGTGGTGTGTGTATGTGGTATTGTGTGTGGTGTTATGTGTATGTGTATTTGGGTGTTTCGTGGGGTGTGTGAGGGGTATGGTGTGTGAGGTATGTGTGTGGTGTGTGTGGGGGATATGGGCGTGGTGTGGTGTGTGTATGGGGTGTGTTTGGGGGTGTGGTGGTGTGTGTGTGGGTGTGTGTACGCAGTGTGTGGTGTGGGTGTAGTGTGTGTGTGTACACGGTATGTGTGTGTGGTGTGGTATGGGTGTGGTGTGTGGGTGTGTACACGGTATGTGTGTGTGGTGTGGTATGGGTGTGGTGTGGGTGTG